ATATTGCAGGCTGTTGATGAGTATTCCTCCAATCCTGATTCCATGTTCTTCTTCATAAAATCCAGCTTCTCAGATTATTTGCTTAGCATACAAATTAAGTAAGTATGGTGAAAGGGTACAACCCTGATGTACTCCTTTCCTGATTTTAAACCATTCAGTATCCCCTTGTTCTGTTCAAACAACAGCCTCTTGGTCTATGTACAGGTTCCTCATGAGCACAATTAAGTATTCTGGAATTCCCATTCTTCACAATGTCATCCATAATTTGTTACACTCCACACAGTCAAATGACTTTGCATAGTCAATAAAACACAAGTAAATATCTTTCTGGTATTCTTTACTTTCAGCCAAGTTCCATATGACATCAGCAATGATAGCCCTTGTTCCACGTCTTGTTCTGAATCTGGTTTGAATTTCTGGCAGTTCCATGTTAACGTACTGTTGCAACCATCTCTGAATTATCTTCAGCAAAATTTTCTTTGTGTGTGATATTAATGATACTGTTCAATAATTTCCAAATTCTGTTGGGTCACCTTTCTTTGGAATGGGCAAATAAGGATCTCTTCTAATCAGGTGGCCAGCTCTCTTCCAAATTTCTTGACATAAGCAAGTGAGTCCCTCTTGTACTGCATCCATTTGTTGAAACTTCTCAATTGGATGTTCCATCAGTTCCTGGAGGCTTGCTTTTGCCAATTCCTCCAATGCAGTTTGGACTTCTTCCTTCAATACCATTGGTTCTTGATATGCTACTTCCTGGAAGAGCTGAATGCCAACCAATCATTTTTGGTACGATGACTCAGTATATTCCTTCCATCTTCTTTTGATGGTTCCTGCATCATTCAATATTTGCCCATAGAATCCTTCACTACTGAAACTTGAGGCTTGAATTTTTCTTCAGTTCTTTCAGCTTGAGAAATGCCAAATATGCTCTTCCCTTTTGGTTTTCTAAGTCCAGATCCTTACACATTCCATTATAATACTTTACTTTGTCCTCTCGAACTGCCCTTTGAAATCTTCTGTTCAGATCTTTTATTTTGTCATTTCTTCCATTTGCTTTAGCTACTTTCCTGTCAAGAGCAAGTTTCAGAGTCTCTTCTGACACCCATTTTGGTCTTCTCTTCCTTTCCTGTCTTTTAAATGACCGTTTGCTTTCTTCATGTATGATGTTCTTGATGTCATCCCACAACTCATCTGCTTTTGGTCATTGGTATTCAATGTATCAAATCTGTGCTTCAGACAGTCTTTAAATTGAGGTGAGATATACTCAAGGTCATATTTTGGCTCTTGTGGACTTGTTTTAATTTTCTTCAGCTTCAAATTAAATTTGCATATGAGCAATTGATGGTCTGATCCACAGTCATCCCCTGGCCTTATTCTGACTGATGATATTGAGCTTCTCCATCACCTCTTTCCACAGATGTAGTCAATCTGACTCCTGTGTATTCCACCTGGTGAGGTCCATGTGTATAGTCATCATTTATGTTGTTTAAGAAACTAATTTGCAATGAATAACAGAGGTCATGCAAAATTCTATCATGTGATCTTCAGTGTCATTTCTATCACCAAAGCCATATTGTCCAACTACTGATGTTTCCTCTTTGTTTCCAACTTTTGCATTCCGATCATCAGCAATTATCAGTTCATCTTGGTTGCATGTTTGGTCAATTTCAGACTGCACAAGTTGGTAAAAATCTTCAATTTCTTCATCTTTGGCTTTAGTGGTTGGTGCACAAATTTGAATAACAGTCATATTAACTGGTTTTTGTCATAGGCATATGGATATTATCCTATCACTGACAGCATTGTACTTCAGGATAAATCTTGAAATATTCTTTTTGATGATAAATGAGATGTCATTCCTCTTTAATTTGTCATTGCCAGCATAATAGACCATATGATTGTATGACACAAAATGGCCAATACCAGTCCATTTCAGCTCACTAATGCCTAGGATAGGAGCTCTGGTAGCATAGTGGCTCAGGCACTTGATTGCTCACCAGAAGGCTGGTGGTTCAAACCCACCAGCCACTCCTTGGAAGGAAGGTTGGGCATTCCTACTTCCGTAGTGATACTGCCTCAGAAACCCAAGGAGGGGTCGCTATGAGTTGGGGCCAACTCGATGGCAAATAACAACAACAACAACAAAAATGCCTATGATATCAATCTTTATGCATTCCACTTCATTTTTAACAACTTCCAAGTTTCCTAGATTCATACTCTGCACATTCTACTCGACAATTACTAATGTATGCTTGCAACTGCTTCTTCTCATTGTGAGTCATGCCACAACAGCAAATGAAGATCCAGAAAGCTTTACTCCATCCATGTCATTAAGGTCGACTCTACTTTGAGGAGGCAGCTCTTTCCCAGTTGTATTTTGAGTGCCTTTTAACCAGAAGGGCTCAACTTCCAGCACTATATTAGACAATGTTTCCTTGCTATCCGTAAGGTTTTCAGTGGCCAAATAGCTTTTTCAGAAGGGGACCAAGCCATGTCCTTCTTCATAATCTGTCTTAGTCTAGAAGTTCTTCTGAAATCTGTCCACCATGGATGGCCCAGCTGGTATTTGAAATACTGGTAGCATAGCTTCCAGCATGACAGCAACATGCAAGCCACCACAGTACAACAAACTGACAGATGAGTGGTGGAGACAGACCCTAGTGCTGGTCAATGGGCTGGCACTTAAGGAGGAAAGGGAATGAAGAAGGCACAAATTCAGCATCAAGTCAAAGAAAAACTGGACCTGGGCACTAAACTCCCCAGTTCATCCCCTGTGCCTCTACCTCCATGTGTAGTCTTGGAAGGTCCCTTTCATGTCCTGGCCTGTTTCCCCAGCAAAGCACTGAGAAGAAGACCATGTTCCAAGGGTCTGCTCAGCAGTGACACCCAGCGATGTGGTATCTTCCTGTTTAAACACCCTTTGTTTTTCACCTTCTCTGGTCATTTTTGCATCAGTTGGGGTGGGCAGGGGAATGAGTAGGGGTCATAGGTGGAATCAGGGTGGAAGAGAGCATGCAGCTGCAGGGGCTTCCAGGAGAGAAAGATGCCCAGGCAGCATGAGGCCCTGTTACTCCTGGGACAGCAGAGCCTGTCATGAAGCTCAGGAATGAGCGGCTGGTACCCAGCTAATCTCTGCAGGGACACCCAGGAAGGACCACCTCCTGCCTCCTCTGGAGACACTCTACATTTGGAAGAATGACTAGACTAGACGTTCATGGTGGTGAAGGGATCATCTGAGGATCACACATGGGAAACTTAGCTTCCAAGGTTGCACTGGTAGGAATTAGCAGAGTGGACTCCAGCACAGCTAGAGTGGGCACTGCAGAGGTAGCAGAATGCGGGACCCACTCAGGGACAAGGTCAGGATCAGGGCTCAGACTGGCCCAGAGATCAGAGGGCAAAGAAGTGGCCTTGCCAGGCATGCTCTGAACCCCTCCCCATGGCCTGGCCTGGACATAGAGCTGACTGGATTGGGAATGGACCAGGTTCCTGGGAGCAGAATAGGAGAGTGCATCACCTATCACCGCCTTGAGTCAAGGAAACACACAAAAGCCTTGGCCCAGGAAGGCCAGGAGTTGGCAAATCAGAAGTACAGAGGGTCCCCAAATGTTTAGTAGTGGGGATCCTGTGAATGAGTATGCTCTAGGGGAAAAGAGATGGGTAGGGGAGAGCAGAGATGTAAAGGGTCCCACAGGGAGTACTGAATGGTGGAAGATAAAGACGTCATCTGGGGTCTGAGATCCTGGGATAAAGGAGAGAAGGCAAGAAGGTTATGAGAAGGGAGAGGAGATGAGAAAAAGGAAGAGAAGAGATGTGAGGCAACCAATAAGAGGAAAGAGTGAGAGACAAGGTCAGTTTGGGGGAGCTCATGGAAGAGGAGCAGGGAGTGCCCACAACTATTTGCAGGGAGAGCAGGTAAATAGGATCTGACGGATGCAGCTGACCCTCATGCCACCCACAGCACCCCACCATCAGCTGGAAACAGAGTCCTGATGAATGCAAAAAATATTTAAAATAAAAAGTCTTCTAAGCATCATCAAAATATTGAAGCAGTTGTCACACTGTGGGACCGTTGCTATGGAGAAAGTTAGTCCTGCAGCCACTCCAATAAGGCACCAGTGGGAGATGGGCTCTGAATCGGCTAGTTTAGGGCTGGCATCAGAGACAGGGCTCTCCACCCCAAGACAAGAAGGGGAAGAAAGCTCAAACAGGGCAGTTTCTCACCTCCCAGCCATGCTTCCCTGGAAATCATACAAACTGGGCATTCCTCATTTTTGTAGACAAATAGCTGATTGGAAAATTGAAGCCCAGAGAAGGTGAAAGGCCTGCCCAAGGTCACACAGCAAGTCAATGCATGGTTGAGGTCACCACCACCCCCAAGTGTCCTGCACTGGTTCAGATGTCCCCCAGCACATAGTCTATTTCTCTTTCAAGACCCATGTGGCAGGCATTTCAAAGCTGGTCTAGGCCCAGGAGTGAGCTGACACCCTAAATATGGTGAATTCCCAGAGTGGGGCCAAGAAGGCCTGGTAGGAAATAGAGACCCTCCTGGGCTGCAGGGAGGCCACCAGTGCTTCTCACTCACTCCCACCCACCCCAGCTGAGCACAGTGCTGGGCATCTGGGTGGGAAGGGACAGGGAAAGAAGGTCCCACATGTTCACACCTCTGAGCCTTTGCTCAGGCGGATCTCTCTACCTGAAATGCCCATCCTGTTTGGCCCCCTTCTCTCAAATTCTTAAAATACCCCCTTGTTTTTCAATCCCAGCTGAAATATGTGGTGTGTTGTTGTTGTTGTTATTTGCCATCAAGTCAGACCCGACTCATAGTGACCCTTCCTTGGGTTTCCAAGGCAGTAGCAGTAGGGAAGTAGATTGCCCGATCTTCCTGAAAATACATGTATGAGTGAGGGAGCGATACCAACTCCCAGGAGGGATTACCCTTCCAGGGTTTTCTAGGAAGTTCTCCCCCTGCCCCCATGGAGAGTATGGGCTTCACTCACCTCTAGCATCAAAGAATTCATCATCCGAGCTCTCCACAGAGTCACTGAGAACATCTCGAAGGTGCCAAGGGGCACCGCCGCCTGGGGGAGGGCCACCTGCCAAAATGAACACACCTGTTAGCCAAGCCTGAGACCGTGTCCTGCCATGAAGAAGGTGAATACAATCAACCCTGCACTAAGAGTCCACCAGCGTCCTTAGTCTGCCTTCTCCCATCACAGCCTAATCCCTTCACAGTACCCTCCCACTAACTCTGACCTTTCATTTATGACCCAACATACCTCTCAGAGGTAACTTAGTAGGGCAGGAACTGGTGTGCCCATTTGGCATGTACTAAAACTAAGGTAGGAGGTGGTAGCTAAAGAACTTTGCCAAGATGATACAATGTACCAGCCAGCATGGACTACACATGCACTCAAAACCGAAAAAAATAAAATAAAATCAATACCAAATTCACTGTCATTGTGTAGGTTCCGACTCATAGCGACCCTCCTTGGGTTTCCAAAGCAAAGAGATTTCCAAATCTCTACCGCAGTAGATTGCCCAACCTTCCTTCTGAAGAGTGGCTGGTGGGTTTGAACCATCACCCTTCTGATTAGCTGTCAAATGCCTTAGGCGCTATGCCACCAGAGCTCCCACAAATGCTTTCAGCTCCTTAAAACAGTGGCTTCTTTCTCCTTCACACACTGTGGGAAGGTGGCTCTGTTGATTATACTCTGACATCTTTAAATTTGGGGTACTTCTTACATGATGACATATCATGATTTAGTTGGCACTGCTTATTCTTTTTTGGGAGTATATAAAATAATGCTGCATCTTACAATGAATTACATCTTAGATTATTAGACTGTTACCATGAAATTCAGGAATACCACCATGTAGCAGGCTATGTCTTTCCAGGCTACGTCCTCCCTGGGGTTTCCTTTTCCCAGCTCAAAAGTCTCACTTCTCTAAACACAAGTGTCCAGGCCAAAAGCTTTGATCCTGGCTACCAGACACACATGTCCTGTCCCCACAGAGACCTGGGTTCCTGTGCCAGCAATGCCCTTGTCTCAGTTTCCCCATCTGTACAATGAGAAACTGACTGAGACTTCCTGTGGGGTCCTTCGACTATACCTGGTGTTCTAGCAGCCTGTTTAGCACATAAAACCAGTCGCTATCGAATCAGCTATGACTCATGATAACGCTATGTCTATAGAGTAGAACCATGCTCCACAGGGTTTTCAATGGCTGATTTTTCAGGCCTCTCTTCTGAGGTGCCTCCAGGTGGACTTGAAACTCTGACCTTTCAGTTAGCAGCTGAGTGCATTAACCATCTGTAGCACCCAGGGAATCCTGTCTAGAACAAAGTTGTTCTTGCTATTACCTGTGGTCAAGTCAGCCCTGACTCATGGTGTCCCCATGTACAACAAGATTGAACAGTTGTGATCTAGAGTTTTCATTGGCTGATTTTCCAGACCGTCAGGCCTTTCTTCCCAGTCCATCTTAGTCTGGAAGCGCTACTGAAACCTGTTCAGCATCATAACAACACCCAAGCCTCCACTGGCAGGGTGGTGGCTGCACGTGAGGTGCATTGGCTGGTAATTGAACCCAAGTCTCTTGCATAGAAGGTGAGAATTCTACAACTTGAACCATCAATGTACCCCTTAGTACATATTAGGTATCAATAAACAAGTGAGAGGTGGGAGTTTTCCCAGCCACATCCAGGGTGAACCTTGGAGAACCTGCTGCAGTCCCAGCTTGCCACATCTACCACCCTGCAGGATGCCAGCACTGTTCCTGCCCTAGAGCCCACTTCCCAAAGCATAAACTCTTCCTGAAGGGCGAAAGAAGCCAGCCTAGCCCGGCCCGAGGACAAACACAGCCCTGTGACCTGTTCTTCCTGCCCTGTCCACCATAAACTCCCAAACATACACCCAGCTCCTGCTCCAGAGCAGTCAGGCGAGAGCACCCTTCTGGGTCACAGAAAACACAGAGGCCACAGAGAACACTGAGCAGGAGTCACCTTGAGGTACCAAGCTGGGCCTGTCCCACACTTCCTGTGGGAATCCCCTAAGTTTCTGATCCTTGCTCACCAGTTTGGGCAGCATGGTAGGCTGCTCAGCAATTCCCAACCTGTGGGGCCCAGGTTTATGCAAGGGGTTCTGAGAATCCAGATACACCATCATTGTATTTCTAACATGGATATGTGACTATTTTTCAAATGTACTATGCAATAAGGCAAGAAAAAAAAAAAGATATATAGATGGGAATGGAAGAAATAAAATTGTCTGCATACTCAGATAACATGGCTATCTGTGTAGAAAACAAATCTTTACAAAATCTACACACACAACAAAACAAATTCCTGAAACTAATAAGCATTCATAGAATGATAAGATACAAGGTGAACATGCAAAAATCTATTGAATTCCCACATACTGTCAACTGAAAATTTGAACTTGAAACTTAAAAAACAATATCATTTACAATTAATTTTTTAAAAAAAAGTTACCCTCAAGTCTATTCGGATGCATGGTGACCCCACGTGTGAGAGTAGAACTATGCTCCACAGACTTTTCAATGGCTAGACCCCTTAGCAAGCAGATCACCAGGCCTTTCTTCTGAAGTGCCTCTGAGCATATTTAAACTAACCAAAATGTTGGTAGCGAATATTTAACTGTTTGCAACACTAGGGACTCCTACCAGTTCCAATAGCACCCCTCCCCAAAAAGAAAGTAGTACTTAAGTATAAATCCAATGTATGTGAAAACTTCTGTGATTAAAATGTATAACCTTCTCATATACTGAATACAAAAGTATAATTTTTCCTGAATTTATATTAACCTTATGTGCTTTCTCAATCAACAAATATTAAAGATACAAAAACTATCATCCATACTATGTTAATAAATATAATATACAAATATTCCTTGGTATCCAAATCTGTTCCAATCCTGAGAAGCAAGAATTTGGAAAGGAAGAAGCAAGGAAAGTTAAATCATTCTCATCTATTTGGTCCTGAAGGAACTCTCGTGGCACAGTGCCTAAGGCATTTGACTGTTAACCAGAAGGCTGGTGGTTCAAACCCACCAGCTGCTCCACAGAAGGAAGATGGGGTAATCTACTTCATAAAGATTTACCACCTTGGAAACCCAATGGGGGTCGCTATGAGTCAGAATTGACTCAACGGCAGTGTGTTTCTTGTTTGGTCTCTGAGTTTGGGTTGGGGTAGTAAGCAGTCAGAGTTGCACATGAAGATGAATCTGAGAGAGAGAATCCAAGGTGGCAAACTTGGCAGATACACTATCCAGGCCCTCTGAAAATGTATCCGGGTCTATCTGGCTCCTGAATTTGAATAGCAGAAATTCAGCTAAGGGTTCTTATATGCAATGGCCCTCATCCATATGCAGTATACACTCCACCCAAGAACTAAGGCAAGGGCATTTCTACCAACTGCCCTCCTGCAAATAGTGTGCATTAGATCCTATGGGAATATCCTATGGTATATTTCCATTCCAATTGCCATCGGGTTGACTGTGACTCATGGTGACCCCATGTGCTGAGAGTACAACTGGGCTCCATAGGGCTTTCAATGGCTGATTTTTTGGAAGTAGATCACCAGGCCTTTCTTCCAAGACACCTTAAGGTGGACTCACATGGCCAGCCTTCCAGCTAGGAGCTGAGTGCTGAACGATTTCCACCACCCAGAGACCCCAAGAGAAAGGGAAGCACTCTAGAGTTTGTCCCTTGCTCAGCCCCACTGCATCCACCCCACCTGCCGTTACTCCAGATGACTGCCGACTCTGCCCATGTGGCAGGCGATCTCCATGGCAGGTTCTGAGGAGCAGAATCAGGGCCAGAGGGGAAGGCTGCAGGGAGGTGGCTTCAGCTCCATTTGAGGAAGAATGTTCTCCCAGCCACTGGGAAGTGGTGGGTGGAGAAGTAAGAGCCCACTGGGCACAAAAGGGAGCTTCCAATTCCACAAAAACATTCATTCAACAAGGGGTTATGGAGTCCCCAGTGTGCTCCAGGTACCATGTGAGGGGCGGGGATGCTGTGATGAATGACAGGGTGGGGAGGGCCCCAAAGCTTAGCTTCTACAGAGAGTGGGGGCTGTGAGGGGAGGCAACCCTGAACAAGTTAACAAGGGTGTTTTCAGCAATGGCAAGTGCTACCAAGAGAAGAAAACAGTGCCCTCCTTGCCTCTACCTTGTCCACCTTCCCGAAGAGCCTCTTGCAGAGTAATTACGGAGACTGGACAGGTATCAGCCTGTGGGTTTGCCTCTCTACAGAGGAAAAGGACAAGGACAATCAGCCCCAGTCACCAACAGACGGCACCTATTTCAGTTTAGCTTCAAATGTGTGGCTGGCTCTCCTTTCAGATTAATCTTTTACCTCATTATTGTGATCCTTTGCTGTGGTCAAAATACAAATTTGAATGTTTTCAAATGCATATTTGCCTTGTTTACTGTTATTCCCCTTGCTTTTGAAATGGATGCATTGCTTTCTTTTTCTTTTTAATTAGCATAAACTCAATGCCCCACAAACAAAAGCTTCTCCTTTCCCCCTCCTTCCTACCCCTGGTAACCACTAATAATCTTTGGTTTCTATGTATTGCATTGCTTCTTAAATGTATACTAGCAGCTATATAAATACTGTACAAGGTCTTCCATCCCCTCAGACTGGAACTGCCTGGAACAACTTCTGGAAAGGCAGGTGGGAGGGGGATACCAGTTATATCCTTGTATGAAAAAGAGCCTATAACAGTGGATACATTCAGAATGGAGGTGCACAGTCTCCTGACTCCTGGATGGGAGAGGAGGCTCCCTTCAACTCTTCCTCCAGGACACTGATGTGCTAGCAAATGGCAAAAGTCATACTTCAAAAAGAGAAAAAAGTGAAAGAGAGAGTCAGTCTCTGGAGGAGTCTGCTTCTGAAGTGAAGGCCTTTCTGAAAGGCATTAGGTGTGCCAGGACTTGAATGATAAGAAAGATTCAGGCATGTTAAGAGTGTGTGTGTGTGTGTGTGCACGCACATGCACATACACATGCACACACATGCATGTCCATGTGTGTGGTGTGTTATGGGTATTGTGGATGTGTGTGGTATGAGTGTG